TATGTAAAAGACAGGTTAGCAAAGTACTGTTAAGTGTGTGGGTTTAAAGACTTGAATTACAAGATAATAATGCATTATTTCGACATATTATTTGTCTTAAGGGGCCTCTAAAGTACTCAGTGGGTTTCCCTTAAGTAGAAAAAAAAAACACACACAAGCCTGGCTATTTTTAACATCCTTTGCAAACCACTATCAAAAGCTACTATGAATGGTAAATTTCAGTTTAGCCTGTGTGCATACCACCTCAAGTTCTGTATCGATGGAATCCAAATGAATGAGATTTTATTATAGGTGAAAAATAAATATTGACAAGTATGTACACAACTCTGCTTATGGAAATATACTTTGGCACAACCACTCTGGAGAACTCTTAGGCAATGCATACCCACAAGGAATACCGTGTATACTCCATGACCCAGCAATTCTGTCCCTAGGTATGTATCCAACTGAAATGAGTATGTATGTTCACCAAAAGACAGACAAGAATGTTCATAGCAGTCATTTGTAATAGCCAGAAACTACTGAACAACCACCCAAATGTCCACTCAACAGAAGAGCTTTTTAAACTCTGGCATATCCATACAACAGAATATTACATAGCTAGGAGAATGCGTGAACCACTGCTCTGTCAACATGGATGAATTTCACAGATACAGTGTGGAGTAAATGAAGCCAAAACCAGAGGAGGACATCTTACAGGATTCCATTTATGTAAAGGTTTTAAAACAGGCCAAACTAATCTGCTGTTAGAGCACAGGACAACAGTTAGTTACCCTTGGCTGAAGAAGTGGTACAAGCAGCACCTGGAACAGACACTTGGGGAGCATCTGGCTCTGGATATTCTACATCTTGATCTGAATGCTGATTCCACTGGCATGTTCACTTTATGGTAATTAACCAAACTGGGCACTTAGAATCTGTGCACTTTTTTGTACATATGTTATACATCAAAAAAAAAAAAAAAAGAAGAAAAACATTTTAAAATATTTAGAAAAAAAATTGCCTGTAATTACTCTTCAAAGCATCAAGTACCTGAACTGCTGCCCCAAAGTTAGAGGGACCCTTAATTCCTATCATTAGCTCCTGACATGTCCAAATGATTCTTTGGCTACTTGTTAATAATGGAATCAAAAGGCACTAATCTCATTATCGCCTGTCAGCGGGTGCTGTCAGAACGCTGTTGGCCATTAGTCGCCTGCTGCTGCAATCGGTCAGAGACTTGCAAAGCACCCAAAAGGAGACACAAAATACCGCCAGTTTAATTTTTCTCTTGTCCCACTCACCTTTCTGCAACCTCATGCCAAATCCTTGAACCTCCCCTACCCCCCAAACCACAGGCTGCCTTCTCTAAGAAACCATCCCAGAGTTCTCTAGCAACCACAGAATTTTTCTTTGAAAAATTTGCTACATTACTTCACTCATTCATCCATCCATACATCCATCCAAACATGTATTGAGCACCCACCATGTGCCAGGCTCTGTGCTCAAGATACTGAGTAAAGCAAAATTCCTTCCCAGTATTCTATGAAAAGCAGAGACAAAAATAGGATTATGATAGACACATACACACACACACACACACACACACACACACACACACACACACACACA